GGGCCCCCACCCCAGACCCAGTGTCTAGTCAGATGAGTCCAGTCCACGTCTTCCGATTTTTCTTACAGTCTGGTCTTCAGAGGCCAGAAGCTCATCCAAATCATATTATCCCTTCCTGTGCTTTTGTAAAACCACAAATTAAACAAAGAATTTTAAGACCCTACATCATCCCAGGCACGCGGTTGGGAGCCAGGGTAGAATCCGTGTGGAACATCAGAAAAAGAGAAGCAGATTCAGAGACCAGATTCTTTTCAGCCTAAAGAAGGGAGAGAGAATGTTGATGCATCTGAAGAAGCGAGGAGCCTTTCACATCCAGGAGAAGGAAGGCAAATATGGCACTCGGTCTGGGGAGCACCTCAGTGTGGGGAGCACCTCAGCTGTGGCTGCAGTGCTCCCTGTGGGGTTCCCATCTCAGTGAGCCCCTCAGGTTGTGACTCACTCTGCATCTGACTCCCCTCTTAGCCCCACAGCTGGTGGCTCTGTAACAGCAGTGGAAGCCGTTCTTTTAAAGGCAAGTCTAGTCCATCCAATATGAGAAGTCAAACTGATCCTCTTTCCTTCCCGTCCTTTGTCTCCTGTGAAGGCTGTGGCTATATCCTGCCGTAGCTGTGACTGCTTCCCGAGTCCCCTTACTGTGCCTCCATTAACAAATGGTGAGCATCGGGGGGAAATCAACGATTTGTGAATTTGGGAGTACCTTGACCAAAACGCTACATAAATATCAAGTATCATACATTTTAAAGAGTCAATCGTGTGTTCACATGCACTTAATGGACCAGAGTAATTGTAGTTGTTTGCTCCGTTTGTGAAGAACCTTTACTTGGAGAGGCCCCTCATGTTGATAGGCTGTGACCGTCCTAGCCTAGCAGGGTGGCAGGGATGAGAGCTGGGTTTGGTTTCTGGGATCCTAGACCCTCTGCGTTCACCGACTGCTTACTGACTGGTCCACTCCATGCCACGGGTAAGAAGTTTGCCCGGGTGCACAAGTCTGAAGCTGTCTGAGTTTCCAGTCTGGGGTACCTACTGGGTCCTCAGCTTTAGGGGCTCTATCCCGTGACTCCGCATAAAGCATGCCCTCTCCTCAGCTTCCAGAGTCACCGTCCCGACCTGTTCGCACCTTTTTTCGATGTTCTAATAAATCTGGACAGGGGACACACTAGATCCCAAGGGATGATGCCGTCTGGTCATCGTTCTTATTTTTCCTATGGGTTGTATCTTCTGATTTCCAACATTTCCTCAGTTATATCTAGCTAAGGGTAATCCTCACCTGCTATGATCTGTTTTACATAAACATTCTTTGACATGTTCTGTATTTATTTCATGCTATCTTTCATAATTGACATTTTAATGAGCATTAGGAAACTTTGGTACAAAATGGAATGACAAATAATAATTATAGTTATAATTACAACAACAACAGCAATACAGCTACAGAAAATAAAGTGCCCACCATATATTACAACAGTGCTTTGTCTACATTCTTGTATGTATTTTTCAGAGCAGCCCGAGAAGTAAATCGACTCCCATCTTACAGGCGAGCAAAGACGGATTAGAGCCCAAACAAACCCACCACGGAGGCAGGAGAGTAGATCCAGAGGGTTGGATGTTGCTTTAGGTCAACCTGGTGGCCCGTATGGCCCATGACACCCAACCTGGCACAGTTGGGAAACACTGAAGACCCCAGGGGGACATGCACCCCTTCCAACAACTCAGCTGACGCCAAGGCCAAAGACGACCCCCCCCCCCCGCCACCTCGCCACCAAAGAGGACGGTGGAGTTGGATTGTTAAAAGGACTCATGACCCAAAGTCTGACTCTATGATGTGACTCATAGATACGCTGAAGATCATTCTATTCCTGGACAGTAATTAGACTTTTTCATTTTATCAAGTGTTTTTGGATCAATGTATTTGGATGAGCTAGTCATTTACCAGACCTGACAGTGCTCAGATTATATAACAATGGTTATTTTTTTCCATTTTTTAATGTTTATCTTAGAGAGAGACAGAGCGTGAGTAAGGGAGGGGCAGAGAGAGAGGGAGACACAGAATCCCAAGCAGGCCCCAGAGTCTGAGCTGTCCGCACAGAGCCTGACACGGGGCTCAAACCAATGAACCATGAGATCATGACCTGAGCCAAAGTTGGACACTTAACCGACTGAGCCACCCGGGGACCCAATATTGGTCATTTTTTTAAAAAAACTGTTTCAAGTATTCTTCAAAGAGGTCACAATGCTTGGGACGCATTTGACCAGATCTTTCCAGCACTGAGAGAGAGTCTTTCTGAGACACGTGGTCTTAGCAATGCGTCACCTTTCCTCATTGGGTACAGCTAATGTGGAAAGGATATAGTGCTCTGAGTGTTACAGTATTTGAAATGCTGTGTGGGAGTCCAGTCTATATCTAAAGTTGAGTAATTTCATAACTCATGTTCACACCGTCCCTATGTTCTAAGTGAAATCTCTCTATTTCCCCAGGTTACACTAACCCGGAGAACAACCGGGCACCCACCGGGGAGATTTCAGTCAACCTCTGCCCATTTACAGCTGTTGGGGTTGGGGGAGAGAATACAGGTCAAACTGCACCCTGAGGGAACTGAACCCACTGGTGACGAATGGAGATTGGAATCTGCATTCCAATTCCACATATAAAAATAATGTACAAAGCCTTCGTAACTAAAAAAATTTTTAAAAAGGTCAAGCTCCTACTCATTCAAACACTTTGGAAAATGTAATATTCCGATGAGCAGAGATCTCATATATACCCTTATCTGAATTTCCAATTCTGGAAGATCTTGAACATCTTGGAAGGTACCACACTAAAACTATACTGAATGTGGTTTAATTTTTCCTTGTCTTGTGGACCTAGGACCTCAGGGCCATCAATATGTACGTCTTATGGTTGCAAATCACTCAGAGGGAAAAAAAGTATTTAGCTATATGGCTTCCTGCTCATTTGAATTACAAATAAAATGAAGTGTTCCTCCTGTGCATCCCTTTCTTGGTGAGATGCCACTTTGTACCAAGAACTAGAAAATCCTGCTTTCTCTTTGGTGACCCTGGTTCTCTGTGTCTTTTCCGCCATCTTGGACACCACAGTTCTGTGGAAACAGATCATTCAACGCAATGGAGGCATCATTACTAATGCCTTGAATATTAGTTGCCTGGCGAAGGTCACCGATGGCTTCACCCAAGGACACATAGTCCAGGTGGTTAAAGGCGTGCTCACGGACCGCAGAATCCACCGGCAAAATTACAAACCACTTGTGGCGGCGGAGTTCATGGCAGCGCTAACCAGGATGAGCCCGGTGTACCAGGAGGAAGAAGAGAGCTTTAAGGTAAATGGAACGCCCCTGTGGCCCTGTCTTAGCCACAAACACCTGTCACATGACCTCCTCCCTCTGGTTCCTGAGTTTCATGGATGTGTCATACACAATGAAATTTGGAAACTCGAAATGTCTCGATCACACATTCTTTCCAGTCTTGCCCGTGAACATGTGTCTTCCCAATTTTAGGAAAAAATGTGGTCTATGATCTTGTAAACTAACAGCCGAATTGCAGAATTGAATAGCAGCTTCAAAACCACTGGATTTAAATATACACACACACACTCGCACACACGCACACACACTCTCAGGCATACACACATCCACGAGTACATGTGTCGCGCCCGTTGTATCTCATGTAACGGAACAAGTTGTGCATAGAGAATACTATTCCCTAAATGGTGCATCTCAAGCCCATGCTGGTTTTAGCCCATATTTTATCCCATTCTGTGACGTTCATAGAATTTTTTAGATCTGGAGGAAACTGAGAACCAGCTCTTCCAAATCCCTGCTTTTACAGGAGGAAAGGAAGTTGTGGAGAGCTCTGTGCCTTATGCAAGCAAGTCAACATTAGAGTCCTGGGTGCCCAGGCCAACGGGCACACCTCACACTCCTAGTCAAAGTGAATATAGTTGTGTCCACTTTCTGGACCGGGAGGCAGTTTCCTTGGCCAACTGGGAAAACAAGAGGGAAATTATATCTGTGCGATTATACCCACTGCAACATTGGCCCTGCAATCATCGGAAAAAGAATCAGAATTCTCGCCTAAGCCTTATTGTGTCTGGAAGCCTGCTTGAGATTAGGAAAACTTCCCTTGGCAATATAATAGTTGTCCACCAACTCTGAAAACCATGATTCCCTCCTGCTTTGCCACTAACGTTTCAGTCCAAGGTAGAAAATAGTCACAATACTGATCGCCAAAATAATGATCCAGCGCGGGGATTGGTAAACGTTTCTATAAAGGGCCAGATAGCAAATATCTTAAGCTTTGAGAGCCCTGCAGTGTCTGTCACAAGTATTCAATCCTGTATCACGGTACAAAAGCGTTCACACACAATATGTAAATGAATGGGCATGGCTGCGTTCTAATAAAACTTTATTCCAAAATCATGCAGCAGGCCAGATCTGGCAGCTATAGTTTGCAAAACTGAAAAGAAATATTTCCAACTCCAAGCTGGAATTCCTGCCAAGGATTTGAACCAAGGCTCTTGTTAACTGTTTTCACCTTGTTAGAATTAATTGCAAATATTTATCCTCTGCACGTGATACGTCGTGTTCTCTTCTGAAATCCCCAATTTCTATTTGCCCTTCTGAAATAATCACCTTCCTCCTTGTTCTGAGGAGCTGGGTTTAGGGTAGCAGAACCTATGCTTTCTCTTAAATAGCTTTTTAACTGTCCGAAGTGATTTGTAGACGTTTTTCTGTCACAGGTGCCTGAGGTCCAGTAACTGTAAGTGATCACACTTATTCAAGAGAAAGGTACACCACCATTGTATAACCTGGATGAGAACATACATGCTTTTCACTTCCATTCTTGGCATATCTGATCACTTTATTCATTTTTTTTGAGGAAACGAAATCATTTTTTACCACCATTATTACTAGCCCCCTAGCCCCTTCAATTTCTGCTTCTTATCAATAGCTCGAGAGCTTGAGACAGTGCCAGGCCCCAACTAGAGGCCCAGTGAAATCGTTTAGTGGCAAATTTATTGAACAGATGGATAAATGGACAGGCGCTGTCACAGTGCTGAATAATGTGATGCTGTGGCTGTAGCTGCTGGTGATCAAGTCAATCATTTCTGCCCTGAAAAATTTGACCTAACCGTGCTTCTGACGTGTCAGACTAGGGTCTTGGCGATTCTCCAAACACATCATACCCTACCCCGTGGACATGATGGAAAAAATATTTAAGGATCATAATGGTACTAATCCTAATAACGTTAGGGGTACCTGGGTGGCTCAGTCGGTTCGGCATCTGGCTCTTGATTTCGGTTCAGGTCATGATCTCATGGTTTGTGGGTTCAAGTCCTGCACTGGGCTCTGTGCTGACAGTGCAGAGCCTGCTTGGGAGTCTCTCTCTTTCCCTCTCGCTCTGCCCCTCCCCCACTCGCACTATCTCTGTCTCTCTCAAAATAAACAATCTTTAAAAACATATTAGTAATAATCCTAATAATGTTAGCTAATACTTGTGACTACTTATGTACCAGGCACTCTGTTAACTCATTTAGACCTCATAATCCCTCCAGTTTTCAAACGAGGAAATTGAGTCATAGAGAGTCATAGAGTCACAGAGTCATTCTGTGGTAGCAGAATAGTGCCCCCGGCAATGATGTCTACATCTGAGTCCCTAGAACCTGTCAGTAGGTTACACAGCAAAGGGGAGCTGAGGTTGCAGATGGAGTAAAGTTGTTAATCTGCTGAACCTAAAACAGATTATCCTGACTTCTACTGGTGAGTCCAGTGTAATCATAAAAAGCGGAAGAAGCAATCAGAAGAGAGAACAAGAAAGTCAGCAGCCTGGGAGGGATCCGTTGGAACTCCAAGTAGCCCCGCGGTGCCAGTTTGAAGATGAAGGAGGGGCCACGAGCCAAGACAGCAGGTGGTCTTGGGAAAGGGAATAGATTCCCCCTGGTGTTCCAGAAAGGAACGCAGCCTGCAGACACCTAGATTTTAGCCCAGTGAGACCCATTTTGGACTTCTGACCTTTAAGACTGAAAGATAATAAATGGTTGTTTTACATCACAAAGTTTGTGGTAATTTGCTACAGCAGAAAAAAAAAAGAGCCAAAATGATTTGCTTCTAGTCACACAGCTAAAAAGGAGCAGAGCTGAAATTCAAACTGTAGGCCAAAGACAAAGACCATATTTTTTTTTATAAAGTTTATTTATTTATTCTGAGAGAGAGAGAGGGAGCACACAAGTAAGGGTGGGGGAAGAGAGAGAGGGAGAGAGAGATCAAGCTGGGGAAGGGCAGAGAGAGAATCCCAAGCAGGTTCCACGCTGTCAGCACAGAGCCCGACACCGGGCTTCATCTCATGAACCCTGACCCGGGGTGCCTGGGTGGCGCAGTCGGTTAAGCGTCTGACTTCAGCCAGGTCACGATCTCGCGGTCCGTGGGTTCGAGCCCCGCGTCAGGCTCTGGGCTGATGGCTCGGAGCCTGGAGCCTGTTTCTGATTCTGTGTCTCCCTCTCTCTCTGCCCCTCCCCCGTTCATGCTCTGTCTCTCTCTGTCCCAAAAATAAATAAACGTTGAAAAAAAAAAAATTTACATGAACCCTGACCCAAAATCAAGAGTCAGATTCTTAACCGACTGAACCACCCAGACGCCCCAATACTGTATGTAAATAAATTAGTAGGAGTTCATCACCTGAAATACGTGGCCACCTCACCTTACATGGAAAACAGAGCCAAAGCTAAAAGAAAGATGAGAAAAATCCCCAAGCGCCAGACAGAAACAAAGATAAATCTCAAACACACAGACAACCACATGCCCGGCATGCAGCATAGAGAAAAACCAGGGCTAGGAAACAAAAAGAGACTATACCTGCTGCTCCTTTCTCTGGGTCTGTGGTATGTCGACGTCACCGAGGAGCGTCATTATAAGACATGCTTCCGGATTTTGGCTTCACAGAATTGTGTAGAAGCACTGTGAGAGAGAGAGAAATAAGGGAGATACAACGAATACAACCAAAACAGAGCCTCCTACTCAAAATGAACCTGAAAATAAAAATTCCAAAACATTTGAGGAAATCTAGTGCAACCTGACAAAGAGTTTAAATTAATACAATTCAGGTGTTCAAAATAATAAATGAAGGCCTCATTTCCATTAGAGATGTACACAAAGTTTTGAAACAGAGACAGGCAGAAATGGAATAAGAGATAATAATGGGGGAAAAAATCACAAAAAGAAAGCTTAGATACAAAAAATATAGGGCTGCCTGTCTGGCTCAGTCAGTGGAGCGTGTGAGTCTTGATCTTGGGGTTGTGGGTTCAAGCCCCATATTGGGTGTAGAGATTACTTAAAAATATAAGTCTTTGAAAAAAATTAAAAATATATAACTTAAATGGCCAAAAAAAAGTAAGAGAGGTATGAACTCTAGACTAGACATGGTCAAAGAGCACATTCATGGATTGGAGGATGCTCCCTCTGGAAGCAGCACAGAAAAACATAAAGATAAAAATCTATAAACTGCAATAAGAACCTTGAAGATATTGACACCCAAGCTAACAGAAGTTCTAGAGGAAGAGAATAAAAGAAATACCAGAGGAATAATGATTTAAAGAAATACTTGCTGAAAATTTTCTTGAATTAAAGACATGAATTCTTAGGTTAAAAACAAACTCCAAGTGACTGGCAGGACAAATAAAAATGAATCCACACTCACATACATTATTGTGAACCTAAGAACAAGACAATAAGCCAGTCTTCAAAGATGCCGGGTTGCCTATAAAAAGCCAACAATGGAGAGGCCAGGCGTCTCTTTAACAGCAATCCCTACCAGAAGACAGTACGATCATTTCTGCAAAGTGCTGAGGAACAGTAACTGTAGGCCCAACATATATCCCCAACTAAACTAGCACCCAGGAGACAGGAAGGAATAAAGACACATTAAGACTTACAAAGACTGAGCTATCTTCCCCCTCACAGCCACTCCAGGGAACAATTTAGAAATATTCAGTAAAATTGAAGATGCTCGTGCCCTACCATCCCAGGAAGCCTACTTCTCTGGATATTCTCCAGAGTTTTCTCATAAGTTTACAAGGAGATACGTAAAAACTGTGCATGTCAACATCATTCCTCACAAAAAGTTGGAAACCACTTATGTGTCCATTAATAGGAGAATTGAGAAACCACTTGTAAGATAGTCACTCAGTGAAATACTATTACTACTATAAAGTTTCTGAACTAAAATGTTTCTTAGCTTTCAAATGAAAAGTGAAGGTTGAGAAAATGCATTCTCAGGACCAGTTGTAACCACAAGACACTTTGTTGGCACGTTGGCTCCAGTATTTCTGCCATGTTTTCAACAGTCCCCCTTGGCGCGTCTACGCGGCCTCCCCGTGGCCCCCGCGTAGCCAGCAGTCTAGCTTCTGGTGGCCATGTGTGAACCATGGAGGGCCATTCACATGACCAAGAAAGCCCATGCCCTCAGGATAGGGTAAGATTCCCCAGAAAGATAGGAGACTAATTGGGAAGGGCTGCTAGTCAGATTTGGTCTGTGATTCTCTGAAACCGTTAACTCCTTGAGGTGGAAGTTAAAAGACAGGTTAGAAAACCCACTGAGAAAGAATTTGTATTAAATATACATTAAATGCCCAAAGTTTAACGGCTGCTTGCCCCTTCCTTCTTAGCAAGTTTTTCTCTGTTTTTAAGAATATTCCCCCGGGAGGCACCTGCGGGGGGGGGGGGGGGGGGGGGGGGGGGGGGGGGGGGAGTCAGTCATTTGAGCACCCAACTCTTGGGTTCGGCTCAGGTCCTGATCTCACAGTTTGTGGGTTCAAGCCCCGCGTGGGGCTTTGCTCTGACAGCTCGGAGCCCACTTGGGATTCTCTCACTCCCTCTCTCTCTGCCCCTCCCTCATTCACACTCTCTCTCAAAATGAATAAACTTTAAAAAAAAGAATATTTCGGTGCATGAGTGTCATTTTGATATTTGCCTATAAATCTGTTTTATTTCAGGACTGGTATGCCAAAACCCCTATGGGTAAAAAGCGAGCCTTGGCACTAACAGGAGGGATCACTGAAAAGGGGAAAGGAGAAAAGAAGGAAAAGAAAGGAAAAAAGGAGAAGACAAAAAAGTAATGCCTTTCTGAGGAACCATCCTCGAGTGTCTCAGGGATGGAGGTGGTCCTGGCTTGCCAGGGAAAAGGTTCACCATCGCCTGTCTGAAGAAGACCCAGGCCAACGCCGCGAGTTCGTCCGCCCCTGCGTTCACTCCGATCTTTGCAGGCTGTACAAGTTCAACGTCCATAGCAATTGTTTCTAGAGCTTGTAACTGTCTCTTAATCTACGTAAAGCTTCTATATAACCGAAATCCACTCATTACACACTCCACAATCTTTCCAGCTCATCAATACCAGTCACCAAAACTAAAATGTGATATTTAGAAAATCCACTGATTTGACAAACTAGTAGGTACCTTGAGTCTGTCACCAGCACTCCAGCTTTTTATTAATCCGTATATACCGCATATTATCTTGCACATATTTTGATATATTAAGTCTTTGCTCTATTAATGTATTTTAAATAATTGAATAAAAACCATTTTCTTTGAACTGACTCAGTAATTTGGTGGCTGAAGCTAAAAAAGATAAAAAACGATGTTTAAAATTCACAAGTTTCATCTTCTGACTTTGAAGGTGGGGAAACTAGGGCCCAGGGTCACACAGCGGACATCTGGGACAATGGGACCAAAGTTCTCCTCACTCCCAGCCTGCTGCTCTTGGGAAGCACGGGAATTTGGGCAGGCCAATGGTGGCAGAATAGCACTGTGGGAACATTGGGTCAATGTGAAGAAGAGGAAGCCTGAATGAAGAAGGAAGAAATGCTAAATGAGAACAAGACTAAGGCCACCCGAGTGGCTCAGTCGGTTAAGCATCTGACTTTTGGCTCTGGCTCAGGTCATGATTTCATGGTTTGTGAGTTCGGCCCCACGTCCAGCTCTGCCTCCATGCTGACAGTGTGGAGTCTGCTTGGGATTCTCTCTCCCTCCCTCTCTGCCCTTCCCCTGCTTGCACATGTACTCACTCTCTGTCTCTCTTTCTCTCTCTCTTTCTAACTTTGAAAAAAATAGAAAAATAAGGATCAAGATATAAATTTAAATTTTGTTTGAATATGAAGGGTGATTTGGTGGAAGACAGTAAGTAACTCACCTCAGAGTTGTGGTGAGAACGCCATCAGAGGAAGCAGACTTGAAAGGAATTTAATCTGAAACTTCAGAATATCCTATCTGATGGTTCTGGTCCCGCCAGAGAAAGTTGTAGAATCTCCCTCCCTATAGACCAAGCTGGCTCTCTGGGTTTTCTCAGATTCCTGGTAAGTTAGCTTTTCAATGCCTAAGACCATGTGTGCTTTCTGGGTGTCTTCCGGCCCCCAGCACAACCCCCTCAGCCTGTGTCTGCACAGGAGACGGGCACAAAGTAGGACAGAGAGAGGTGGCCATGGGCCCGTGTGCTGGGGACGTCCCCTGCACACACAGAAAGGCAGCTTCCCGGTCTGTGCGCATCAACACCCCCAGCTTTCCAACTGGCCTGCCACAGACTTGCCTCCTCTTCCTGAAGGAACCCCAGTTTCTGCAGACTGTGGGCCTGCTCCCCACTACCCGCATCAGCCTGTGTCTGGCCAAAGCCCAAAGTGGCCGGAGAGTTGGGCAGATTCCCCACCCAACCTCACTCCAGGAGCAGTTCAACTTCCACGTGTCCTGAGTGGTTGCACCAAGACCCTTCCTATCACGTCACATGGGAAACTGACCCTTGGCTGTGACTCAAGAAGAGACTTCAAGGCTCTAGAACTTGATGCTCATTACCAAAGAATGGGATCGGGATTGTAAAGAAATGAAAATCACGAGGGCTGTAAAGAAATAAACATTATTGAAATGTTACAAGTAGACAGTACCATGGAACTTGGTCTTCTCTTCATGACAAGCGCACTTGGTCATAACTCATAAAATCTGTGTTGGTAAAGCTTAATAAACAACAATTTGGGGGCACCTGGGTGGCACAGTCAGTTAAGCATCTGACTCTCGATCTTGGCTCAGGTCATGATCTCAGGGTTCTTGAGTTTGAGCTCGGGTTGGGCTCTGCACTGACAGCATAGAGCCTGCTTGGGATTCTCTCTCTCCTCTCTCGGCTCCTCCTGCACATCCTCTCTGTCTCTCTCTCTCTCTCTCTCTCTCTCTCAAAATAAATAAATAAACTTAAAAAAAAAACAAAACAATAATTGAACGGCAGAAGCCCCCATCCAATAGAACTTCCCACAGGGATCAAAATGGTGATTGAGGTCTGTGCTCACCTACAGCAGTGGCCGATAGTCACACATGGCTATTAAGCACTTGAAATGTGGCTGGTCCAATTGAGGAACTGGATTTTTTACCCCACTGTTAATTTAAATGGCTTCATGTAGCCAGTGTGACTAATGTATTGAACAGCCCAGCTTTAGAGTGATTGGTAAGGATGACCTAACTTCCGTCCTCGGTGTCTCCTGCTCTTTCCCACAGCACGTTCACACGGGGAGACGTGATCTCTCCTGGTCACACCATCTTCTCCCAAACTATGGCCTCCCATCTTTCAAGGTGCTAGATTTTCACTTGAGTTCCCCGTGGCTTGACTCAACCAGCTCTACCTCCTGGTTCCTTGAGAGCTACGATGCTTCCTCCCCTTCACCCCCAGCGAGCTTTGCCCCACTCACAGATGCCCTCTGCTCTGCACGAGCAGACCCCTTGTATGTCCCTGCCAATTCCACAGGAGCCCTCCTGCTTCGGGTGTGTGGCAGGAAATGCATGGAGACAGGCACATATACTCACACATAGATATTTTTTACACAATTTTACACACTTTTTTTACACAAATGATTACATATCAGACATATATTTTTCTCATTGCTCTTTTCAATACCTGGGGTATTGTTTTATATCAGCACACATAGATTGGCCTCATTTTATATCAGCTACATAATGCCCCACTTTTTGGATATAGTGTAATCCAGATAGATAGATAGACAGATGATAGATAGATAGATAGATAGATCGATAGATAGATAAGGGCACCTGGGTGGCTCAGTCTGTTAAGCGTCTGACTTCAGCTCAGGTCATGATCTCGCAGTTCGTGAGTTCGAGCCCCGCGTCAGGTTCTATGCTGATAGCTCAGAGCCTGGAGCCTGCTTTGGATTCTGTGTCTCCCTTGCTCTCTGCCCCTCCCTGACTCGTGCTCTGTCTCTCAAAAATAAATTTAAAAAACGTTAAAAAAATTGATGAGAAAGATAGATAGATAGCATAATTATTTATTTTATAGCATACCCAGTCTTTGACACACATTTAGATTACATCCAGTCTTTTGTGTTCCATCAACGCCGCAATGAATACCTTCATACATCCATCTTGGTGGGCCTGTATGGGGGGAAAATTCTGTGAGATAAAATTTTAGAAGGGACATCAGCAGGTCAAATTACCTGCGCATTTTCATCTGAGTAGCTCTTGCTGGGTTCCCCTCAGAAGAGGTGCCCAGCACACCTGTCCTGCAGGAGAATGCCCATTTGCGTCCTCATCCACCAGGCAGGTTCTGGAACTCTGAGCCCGTCGGCGGTAGGTGTGTGAAATCCCAAATCCCCTGGAAAGGTGATGTAACATCGTGTGCTTCCGACACGGACACGGGAGGAATGACGTGAGGAAGGGAAAATAAGGAGATGAGTGGGGTGGAGGGCAGAGGGGGCTGGCGGAAAGAAGGGCAGTAGATTCTTCTCGGGAGTTCTGCTGGGGCCTGAGCTATTCCTGGGCCATTATGTGGCATTTAGCTCCTCTTGAGCATGTTCTTAAGTGAAGGGGACAGTAATTAATGTCATTAACCCTCATTAAGAGAGTGTTCTATGGAATGGAATCTGATTAAAGTGGAATTAAAGCTCTTGGTGGCTCTGCACTTGGCCTGCCCTGAGGAATGAGAAGGTTTCGGGTTCAGAACCCGTGCGTGATGACATGGCATTTTTTAAAAGGTGTTCCCGAGACCACCGGGGCTTCCGCAGACACCTCCATTTAAAACAACAGGTTTAGAACACCCTAACGCCATGTGAAATCTCTTCCTAAGCATAGGTCCACATGTAACAAAAAGGCAATACTTGTGGTAGGTGTCACAGGGCTGTTTCACAAGAGCGACACTTAGTTTCAGCCACTAATGAGACTAGGGGACACCAATGTCTGAGAGAGTGGCTTCCTATGTCCTTGAAAGTCAAGACTTCCGGAGATGCATAGGGTGATGTTAACGACGGCAGAAGAAAGTAAGAGGCAGTGGGCTTGAGCCAAGCTAGCAGCGACCTAAGCAGTGAGATTTGGAAAACCTTAAGGCCCTTGGCCCAAAACGGTGTCTCCAAGCCCCCGAAACCCCTCCATTAGAATCATTCCTTAATGCACGGTCCTGGAACGATTCCATCTCATTAGAATTCACAGCCGTGGCAGCACAGGGTTTCTTTGCTCATCTTCCAAGTCTTGTATCAAGCGCCTTCTGGGTACGACACGGGGGTACAGAGCGAGCTGCTCCGCAGTCGGGTCGGGGAGGAGACATTCATAAAATGGCCATATGACGAATGTGCGAAGCCAGATCGCGCAGCGGGTGTGTGTAGCTGAGAACCTGGGCTAAGTCCCTGGGACCAGGCTGGCCTCTGCCTGGCTTCGCCCCTGCGGGGACCCTTCTCGGATGGAGAATCGAGACTCCCTGAAGTGGCAGGACTGTCCGATTCTGTGGCTCTTCTGAACGGCTGCGCTTGGGGCCCGTATCATTACCGAAGGCAGTGTGTTGAGGGGCCTTGGCACAGGGGCTCTCGGTAAGGGTTTATGGCCTCGCAGCTGCTCCACAATACACCTCTCCCAGTGGGCTTTGGGGAGGGAAAGGGAGCCCAGGAGTCGGGGGTCGGGGGGGAGGCACTGTGGCCTCCTCCACGTCCAGTTTGCTGTCAAATCACTGTGTTCTGGCCCCAAACAACTAACCCAGTTCCTCCGCCTGCCGGGAGCAGTGCCCCACTCCTTCTTTTGGCCGGGGGAGTAAGATTTTAGAAATCAAGTCCCTGTAGTCAAGTCTAACGACGGTTTAGAGCAAAGG